TTGCTCCCCCAGAAGAAGTTAGCCAGTTTGCCATGTATGGTCCTAATAATGGATTTAGGAAGATCTTGGACAGCAAGGGTATGCATAGGAATTGCACTTAGGACATGCTTGATAAGAATGAGTCTACTCATAGGGTTAAGCTCTTTACTATACCAATTGTTGATATAAGCATCAAAATGGTGAAGAATATGATCACAGTGAGTTTTTTTGAGTTTACCCTGAGTGATAGTAGAAACCAAGTATTTGAAAGGAGGGTTTCGCACCTTAAACCCTAAAGTATCTTCCAGCTTGCTAGTATATAAACCTCTGCTCCCTTTCTTGCAGAAAATCCTGATTTTCTTTTTATTAACCTCCTGTCCTAAAGCCTTAAGATAGCTATCTAGAAGGTGTCTGAATCTTAGGATATTCCTAAGGTCTCCCTTAAGAAAGATAATAAGATCATCTGCAAAAGCAAGATGGGATACCACTCTATTCTTTCCCACCTTGTAAGGGGAGATGTATCCAGAATTGATGGCATGATTTAAGCTTCTAGCAAAACCCTCAGATCCTATAATAAACAAGAGAGGGGAAAGAGGATCACCTTGCTTGACTCTCCTCTTGATTTTAAAGAACCCATTGGGTTTCCCATTCACTAAAACAGACATGTAAGTTGCCCTTAAGTTTTGGAGAAGGAGAGAGATGCTTTGTTCATTAAAGTTGACAAGATAAATTCAAAGCTACCAATAGTGGTAGGGCAGAAATGAGCATTAAAGGTATGAATGAGATTTGATTTCTTTCTTACTTTAAATGGCATATTCCCAATTGGATTGGGATGGGTATCGCACTCCTTATAAATAGGAGATCATTCTCCCTTGTTGATAATTTGAGATTTTCGGCCCTTCCTCCTAAAAATTAAGAGACTAAATTGTTTTGTTCTTTTAATTCCTTACTCCAAATATTTTATATTTTAAGAAAATATTCTTGAGAAAATTATTAGAATAATATTTCTCTAGAAGACCATTCAAAGTTCGTGTGTACCTACTAGAGGTCATATACTTTTGTGGCTAAGGCTCTTGGACCAATCCCGTCAGCCACACGTCGTTACATGTTCGTCATGAAAGGTATATCTCTAACAATAACTCATAGATTTTGTAAGAGATCTTGGGTGGATCTACGTTTGGACGTCAAAAGTTTTATATTTCCGCTACCCCATCGAAGCGTAGTTCCGTTCATTATCATCATCGGTTGTAGGAGCCTACGCCTGACGTGGTAGCTGGCTACCATATGGATGGTACTGTGCTACCGTCTGGTGTCAAGAAAAGTTGCAGAAATAGAGCACGACCCAATCTTGAGTTCATCCGGTGCTTATAATGTTTATAGAGATTATTAACACACCAATCACGTAAATTAGAGTAAGAAAATGATGGGAATTAAGAAGAGAATACAACCACACCAAATACTAATTCCCCACTTGCAAGAGTAAGAGGATCAAAAACAGCAACAAGCTAATAGCAAATAAGCACAAATAATAAAGACACGATGCACCAGAATTTTTACGTGGAAAACCCCTCAAATCGAGAGTAAAAACCACGGGTCACAAAGACCACCAAGCAAGCTCCACTATGACCAGAAATAGGGTACAAGAGTGTCTCAAACAAGGGCTGAAATTAGTATAAAGATACTGCAAATATACTGCCACAACAAGGAGCAAACAACTAGAGAATATGCAGAAAAACCAGAAAATACTGCCTCTGTTCAGATTCGAATATCTCAGCCTGCAGACCTCCAAATCCAAAACTGACCAGTGGAAATCAAGTTCAATGTGTCCCGAACCTGCTCCTAAAATTTCAGAACAATCGGACACCGTTTGACCCTCCAAACATCAGTCTGAAAAACACTGCGCACACAAATCCGAGAAATGAACAGCTTCCTTCTCTCTCTCGATTTTTCTGCTCTCTCTCTCTCGTTTTCTGCTCTCTGTCTCTAACTCCACCTCTTGTTAACCTCTTATTTCATCAAAGAGTGGGCTTGTGAAGAATTGGGCTTTACTTGGGCCTCCACATAAGAAGTGAGCCCAAAACCCAACATATCTCCCCCTCACGACTATGTGGAGGTGATCGCCAGCCCGGCGATCTCACAACAAACATCAAACTTCCATTTAGGCAATGCCTTGGTTAGCATATCAGCACCATTGTCATCAGTTTGCACCTTTGCTAACTCCAACAGCTTAGCATCCAATACATCACGTATCCAATGATACCTCACATCGATGTGTTTTGAGCGAGAATGGAAAGTTTGATTCTTAGCAAGATGTAAAG